CAACATGATTGAGCTAGCAAAGCAGTTTTGTGTTGCTATGTGTGGTATTTATTCAGTTTTGGGAAATCACGATGTCTAGAAAGCATCAGTGGCTGCAGCTGACAGGGACAGCTAACGTTAACACTAGCAGCAAAGCTAACATCAGGATCGTCATCCGTTAAAAGCCTCCCGTTGTCGGATACGACATGAAACTAGTCCAGTTAGCTCAATCATGTTGTAACTAAGACATCCGCTGGAGAAAATATTTTTTCACGGGCCATTTTGTGAGTTTAGTGAGTTATTACAGACACGGCTAACGGTTAACAGCTAACGGTTAGCCCAGCTAATCTACGATAACCATGCTATTAATTACACACAGAGAAAATACTAATGTTTGTTCAGTCATTGTGTTTATAGACTTTACAAACATCAGATTAGTCTAAACGGTGATATAGTGACGTGAAAAATGTGATATATACATATATATAGCTAAACTCAGCAAGGTAAACAACAAGGCGATTCCCATTTACACAGTGGTAAGAGTGCTGGACCGGAAGTGTCGCGCAAAAAAACGGAAGCTGGCTGCGTTCTGTTTTGCCTCTGTGTTTCCGTGAAAAATAAGGTGGATATATATGTCTGGTTTACGAGTGACGGTAGAATGGAGCGTGAGATGGATCTGCGGTTTGGTGCGGCTTCTGCAGTGATGCGTGCGCTGCACCGGTTCATCGTGGTGAAGAGGGAGCTGAGCTGGAAGGTGAAGCTTTCAATTTACTGGTCCATCTACGTCCCAACCCTCACCTATGGTCATGAGCTCTGAGTTGTGACCGAAAGAATGATATCGCAGATACAAGCGTCGGGTTTCCTCCGTAGGGTGGCTGGGCTCAGCCTTAGAGATAGGGTGAGGAGCTCAGACATCCAGAGGGAGCTCAGAGTAGAGCCGCTGCTCCTTCGCATTGAAAGGAGTCAGTTGAGGTGGTTCAGGCATCTGATCAGGATGCCTCCTGGGCGCCTCCTGCTGGAGGTGTTACGGGCACATCCCACTGGTAGGAGGCCTCAGGGCAGACCCAGAACACGTTGGAGGGATTACATATCTCATCTGGCCTGGGCACACCTTGGGGTCCCCCAGGAAGAGCTGTAAAGGGTTGCTGGGGAGAGGGATGTCTGGGATGCTCTGCTCGGCCCGCTGGCCCCATGACCCGGCCCCGGATAAGCGGATGAAAATGGATGAATATATATAAAGGTCTACTATGCATGAATTGTCAGTTATTGTTGGTGAACAAAAAAACACACACATTCAAACTTGGCCCCTCCTTCTTACACTGCTTGTACGTACAATGCAAACTACTGTTGAGGGAATGTTACATTTGTTGTAATGGAAAAGCTGATACTTCAGCAAGCTAACTAGGTTCATCCTGTTCTTCAGTGCTCATCAGCAAAAGTGAAAGTGAAAGCCAATCATAGATTCACGATGCTGTGTCCACAGTTCTCATAGCTTCCTCTTTTTATTTTATTTTACCTTTATTTTACCAGGTTAGTCCCATTGAGATCAATGATCTCATTTTCAAGGGAGACCTGATTGGATGTGTGTTGCTGTTACCAGATCGCTACCTTTTTATGAAGTCCTGACCTTACATGCTGTTTCTGGCTGAAGGCTACATGCCCTTAAATGACCCGAACACAGTCGAATGAGATAAAAAAAAGAGCAAAGAGCAGAGTCTGCAGATAAATACACTGCAACTCACCTCTAGCGGGATTAAATTGATTATTGAGAGGGTTTACTGATGCATTAGTCAATACATTGTTTTTTTTTTAAATCTTGTATAGGTAGTATAGGTCTACCTTTAATTATTTTTATTTAAATTTTTATCATTTATTTTCAAATTACAGGAGCTACACGTCCATGTAACATTACCCTCTAGTAACTGGAGAAGTATCCTCAAGGGTAGCCCTACAAGTACGCTGTTTGGGAATCATTGACATAAGTTACAGTGAGTGAGTGAGCACAGTACACCATCTGGGGCGCCTTCACGTCCAGTCTCCACAGTCATTCCTGCACGGATGTGAAAACAGAGACCTTGCCAGGTCAGAGAGCTCATGCAGCTGCCTGCTGTTAACCTTTACACCCCAGGGAGGGAGCACAAGATGCCACTGCTGTACTGTATGTTCGCAATGCTTGGCTGCTTGAGTGTCATTGTGTCTTTCTCAGAAAGCGACAGGGTGGATTATTGTGTCACTGGGATCGTGCCCCTGAATGATCAAAGTCAGAAGCAGGAAATATTCTTCTGAGAAATGCTGATCAATAGATCTAAGCCAGTCATAAGGTTTCCAGTGTTGTTGTTATAGATTTCTCATTAGTTTGGAGGATAGGGCTGGCCTCAGGCTCAGAGTGGAGGTCTTTGAAGTCTGAGGCACATGAATATATTTAGAATGACCTGAATATCTATTTGTAGTTCAAATTTATGCTTCTCTTAGGTGTTTTGAATGAAATGAAGGAAAAATGAGGAAAACAGTGGGATTCATACTGTGTGCCTCCACTGTTTACTCCGTCCCTTTTCACTCAGGGGATTGTATATATGATCTTTGCCACTCTCAATAGCTTTATCTGTGTTATTTTTTCTGTCAGCTGTGGCAGTTCACTGCCTCACCTCTTATCAGAACAATGGGCCACCGAGCAAGGTCCATTAGCATTTGAAAGGGCGTGGGAGAAAGGCGTGTGTGCCGTAATATAGAAAATGAGAATGAGTCCACATCACCTCTGCACTACCTGACTTCCTTGGGACGGTCCCGCAGAAGGCTACAGCAGTGTTTGTTTATTACTGCGTGGAAAATGAAGCAGCTGCACCCACTAAAGGAATTAAACTGAGTATGTAGCATATATTTCACAGAAACAAAAACGACACATCTGAACGCAACAAAAATAAAAAGGCGAGAAAACCGCACAGCTATATTCAGCAACTGCATTGTTGCTCAATACTGACAGCACGGTTAGGGGAGAGAACGAGGGAGCACCCGCCTGCGCAGGAGCTGCAACTGTGCGCGCTTTCATCCAGAAAAATAGCTGCTTGCTTTGCTAAAACCTGCTTTTTTAAAATTAAAACGTGCACTGATGAAGCTGAAGCGCCGTCTTGGATGAACCGGAGCGCATGTGGAGGATGCTGCTCTCACCAGGAGCAGGTGCATTCAGCCAAGTGGAGGCGCAGGGCATAGAGCAGGAGCGACGCACAACGGGCACCGGACCACAACACCTGCTCCGGATGAAAACCCTTCATGCTTAGATATGCTGCTGGTTCACGCGCTTCTCCTCTCCAAAATAACTGGATTTTTGCTTGCAACTTATGTGTGGTAACAAGGAGAAGGTGGGCAGCAGGGCACTGATGGACGCACAGCCCATTTGGAAAATACTGTAGTGGAAAAAAAAGGACTGCTCTGTTGGCTTCTCATAAGACTGCTTCATAGAAATCAATCTTGCTCTTATCAAGGACGGAATCATCTGCAAGGATGCCCGGAGCACTTTTATCAGCGCAGTCGCTCTACATAGGAATGGAGGTGGTGATTGCAGTCGCGTCTGTGATCGGGAATGTGATGGTGGTTTGGGCGGTGAAAATTAATAAATCGTTGCGAGATACCACGTTTTGTTTCATTGTCTCCCTGGCTCTGGCGGATATTGCAGTGGGAGCCCTCGTCATCCCTCTTGCCATTACTATAAGCATCGGACTCCAAACTCACTTTTACAGCTGCCTGCTCGTGGCGTGCACGGTGCTGGTGCTGACGCAAAGTTCAATCCTGGCCCTGCTGGCTATTGCAATTGACCGCTATCTCAGGGTCAAGATCCCGACCAGGTAATGAGGTTTTCACAACCCACACATGACAGTGAAGAGGGGCACATTATTCTGTGCCATATGGAGAGGTTTATGGTGATGGCATTGTTTTGGCAGAAGTCAATACAGCTCCAGTGCTGTGCTCCTGGGCATTGATTGGGTCTTGTTTCACTTCACAGGATGGCTCCATTCTGCCAGTCCCTTTATGTGCATATAGATCTGACTCACCAGTATACTGACATGACAGCTAACTAGGGCTTGGCTGATCAGCCAACAGCTTTAATTACTCCCTCTGTCCTCAAGATGCTTATATGTGTGGAAGAGTACAGTGGCAGAATTATTACATTTAGGGGTGGTGTGTACAGGAGACATGTGTTTTGTATGTTTCTGGAGGGCATAAGAAAGGTCAAGTTTGCTGTCGAAGATGTTCCCTCTTTGTATTTTACACCACCAGTGGTTAATCCTGCCAGGCTGGAACAAAAGATTGAGCAATGGTGCTGAAAGGCTGAAAAGATAAGCCTAGTAAAAGCAGGGAATGTATTGTCTGAGAATATTGTCTGTGATAGCCTTGAACTTTAATCTCCTGTCTAAGACTACACTAAGTCTTCCAGGCACAGGCGTAGATTGCAGGTGACATGCAAGGGACACGCCCCCCCCCCCAGTATCTACAACATGTGCATTCTCCCCAGTAAAATATGACAGTAGCAGAGGACTTTTATTTTGGATGAAATTTTAAGACATTTTCACCATAATAAATGCACAACAATTCCCGGAGTGCAAGTCACAATGTCCTTTGGGTGGGACCTTGATTCCCCTGATTTCATGTTTAATGTTCAGTGTTGCTTCCAGGGTTGCAATCACAGTTTTCCAGGAAATTTAGATTTGACTAATTATTCTTGTAAAACCATGCAAGCTTAATGGTGAATGCCACAACAGCTGTCACATCAGTGAGTCCTTGTCCCAATTAGAGCTGTTCCAACACTGATACCAGTATTGGAAAAGCCTCTGATACTGCCTAAAATGCTGGATCGTGTATTGGCGAGTGTTTGCACCCATCCAATACCATGCAATTTGAATTTAAATTTAAATTTAAATTTAAAATCGCAGTTTTCAGTTGTTCATCATTGCGGCTCTGAAACAGTGGCCTACACAGCAAGTTGTGCTGTATAGGCCACTGGCAACTGCTGTTTTAGAGCCGCAAAGAAGAAGTGGTTTCTAGTTAATGCCATAAAATTTCAGCAATATGGCAATATTTTACACTGGAAAGTCCTACCAGTAAAAAGGCAATGAGTACAGTATGCAAGGCTTTAGTTTTGAGGAGTGGCACCAGGGTTGCTTCCTACTAAATTTTGGCTGCACTTCTTTTCAAGGAATTGTTATTTATTCCTATGACTGACAGTTGAGTTTAAAAGAAAGTTCTGTGCTTTTATTCTCTGTATGTGTTCATTCATGTTTTATAAAGGGTTTGACCTGAGCCATTCCATACAACAATGATAACAATCATTTCACATCCATACAAGATTAGTGGTTCACAGCTGTTATTTATATTTTTTTTATGCAGTGGTATGGGATTGGTACTTGGTATCAGCTGACTCACAAATCCAGGTATTATAATCAGTATCAAGAGGGAAAATATGGAAGTGGGACATGTCTAGTGCCAGTGTTTCTTCAATTCAGAAACTCTCACTTGGGAGTTGCTGCTGCTGCTCCCTCCCACAACTTCTATTTGTTATCAAGAGGGAGAATCTTTTCTGTTTTTCCCCCACATTTCCTGCTGTTAGATTAGTCTCTGATCTCCTCTGAGCAGACCGGCTTCCAGGCTCTGTGTGTGAATAATGATCTGCATGCTGTGCTTCACACGCAGACTCAACTTAACACACATCCCTGATCGATACTAATCTGAAACATGGCAGCGGGCTAAATTGCAGGGTTTTGCTTCAAGCTCCACTTAAGCAAAGGTCATGTTATTGTAATGCTAATATTTCCCCTACAATTACTACAACCAACATTGTAAATGTCAACTACTACTAATCAGAAAGGGAGAAATCGTTGCTTAGCTGGATCAGATAACTGATTCCCTGCCTCTAGGCTTGTATCAGGCTGAGTCTCTCTCTGTCATTTCTTGATCACAGGACAGCAGCGATAAGATTTTACAGTCTTTGCACCTTTTATGTTCCTCTATCTTCTGCTTATCCATAAACACTATAAACAATGAAAAAGCCAGACCTGTAAAGCCTGTTGTAGCATGCCAAGTCCTGCAGCTTGTGTCCACTGCACTGCTGAAATAAATTAGCAGATAATATTGAGCCAATTGTAAGAACCATAATTCAGTTTTGCCCTAAACAAAAGAGGCATGGAAAGCAGCAGTGCTGCAAAGAGCAAGGTTTACTGATAAGGGTTCACAGACACTGTCTTGTTCATGTGGAGATATGTGCTGTGTAGAAATGTGTGTTGCGTGTCCTGGGGCTTGTGGTTTGAATGGTAACTCTTTCTTTTGAATCACACCTTTCGTCAGTCCAAGGGCACTGGCAAAATGAAAAATGAAGTAAATAAGAAAGCCTGCAGGTCCTGATGCTGTGAGAAAAAGTGCTGACACAATGCTGTGTTGTTTGCAGGTACAAGCGGGTGGTGACCCCTCGGCGAGCGGGGCTGGCAGTGGTTATATGCTGGACAGTGGCCTTCATCGTGGGGCTCACCCCCATGTTAGGCTGGAACAACCTGAAGCGCCTCCAGCAGAACGGCTCCATCAGCTCTGACCTCATCATCACCTGCCAGTTTGAGAACGTCATCAGCATGGACTACATGGTCTATTTCAACTTTTTCGGCTGGGTGCTGCCGCCGCTGCTGCTCATGTTGGTCATTTATGCAGAGATCTTCTACATGATCCACAAGCAGCTTAGCAGTAAGAAGTTCACCACCAGTCACGCAGACCCCAACAAGTACTACGACAAGGAGCTGAATCTTGCTAAATCGCTGGCTCTGGTTCTTTTTCTCTTCGCCATCAGCTGGCTCCCCCTCCACATCATTAACTGCATCACCCTCTTCTGCCCTGAGTGCAACAAGCCTATCGTCCTCCTCTACATCGCCATCCTGCTCACCCATGGTAACTCCGCTGTCAACCCGATTGTCTACGCTTTCCGTATTAAAAAGTTCCGATCTGCCTTCAGGAAAATCTGGCAGCAATACTTCTGCTGCAAGGACACACCAGCTCTGGAGATACAGCCCAGCGACAGGAAAGAGATGCCCAACCCAGAGCAACAGCAGGCGACACCACCACAGCCTCCTCAGAAGGACATCCAAAACTCTGATCCACCACCTGAGCAGCCGCCTCCACCACCTGAGCAGCTGCAGGACCAGAGGACCGAACCACCCCAACAACCTAAAGAACACCCGCCCTTACTGGAGCAGAACGCAGTCTAAGCTGCGAAATGGAGCTTATTTGTTGGCTGGGAAAGTAGCGATCAGTGCACAAGCATTGGTTCTCTCCTCATTTGAATGTAGTCTCATGAGGAGCATGAAGTGCTACGGTGATGTAATGGCTGAGGCGACTTGGATCAACAATCTAAAACACTGGAAGATCATTTAATTTTACTCAGGAGGAGTGGATTACTGATAGTGTGGTCAAAGCAAAAAAAAAGGCAAAAAGGGTATTATAAACTTGCAATAATTGAAATCTTTTTGACAGTGGCTGTCTATCTCAGTAACAGACGGAAGACATTAAGCTTTAACTGTTATGTCATTATGGTCAAACAGTCTGTGTGAACATTACAACATGTGCAATATAAGTTATTGTGGTCGGTCAGTATCAGATTATGTTTTAACTTGCTATACAATGAATGTTTATACATTCATAAGAGCAGGTTCATCTTTCTACTGTAATACTGTGTGTATCATTAAACTGACAGTGGCTAAAGAACATGAATGTAATAATAATGTAAATAAGAGGCTACAGCAGCACAGCTTTGAACGCTCATCTCTTCTTCAGGGTCTTAATCGCACAACAGTGGTGGAGCAAGTGGCAGTATGGGAGAGATTTTTTTGCAGCGTGGAGGTGTGTGTGTGTGTGTGTGTGCTGATAGAAGGGGTTTTGTAATCCCTTAACTCTTCTCCATTGGAGTCCCTCAGCGGATCCAGCAGCCCTGTTCCATTACTGAGGAGATGGACGGGGATAAGGAACAAGCAGCTGGAGGGAATGGGAGGTTTTAACCTTTTAGAAGCTGCGTGGAGGAGACTCACGGCTGCAGGACGACAGCTACTCATGGGGGAGAGAGACAAGATGCACTTAAAGCTCATGCTTATCCAGCCTCCATGCCAGCTGGTGGTAGGAGCTGGGTTTTCCTTTTTTTTCCCCGGCTATGAGGGGCGATGATAACTGTTCCACAACCTACCACTAGGAACAGTGGCTTATGGCCTTATTCAGTATTTTAATTAGTACAGGCTGGACTGGAAAAGACAACCTGACGATTGTGAGTATCTTAATACACTGTAAGCTCAACATTTTGCATAATGCCAAACTGGGTCATCTGTAGACTAGTAATTCAGAAATGTTCAATGCCACTGACATAAAAACACTGTATGAAAATGTAAAGTTATTCTGTTTTGTCTCTTGTAAAGACTCAGAACTCCAGCCAAGACAGCTCATTGATGTTCTCCTAAGTGGGTGACAATCTATGTAAGCTAAAGGTCCAGTGTGTAGGATTTAGAGGGATATATTGGCAGAAATGGAATATAGTGTATTGGCTTTAGCTTATAATCACCTGAAAATAGGAATCATTGTGTGTCTGTTACCTTAGAACGAACCGTTTATATCAACACAGGGAGTGGGTCCTGGCCCACGGAGTCCGCCATGTTCCTACAGTAGCCCAGAACTGACAAACCAAACACTGGCTGTAGATGGGGCCACTCCTGTTTTCCAGATTTTGCATCGACCACTGTAGTTAGCAGCCCCTCCAAAACAAGCTAAACAGCACTAGAAAACACTGTTTTTTTTTGTTTTGTTTTTTTTACATGAAGCTGCTTTATTCAGTGCTTTTACCAGTTGTAATCATTGGGTCCATTTGTTTTGGTGGAAAGGACCTCTGTGGATATTTCAGCATCCGCTCAAAACCTCTTGAACAATGAACACTGAAGGAATCCTAACCGGGAGTTCACGCTCGGCACATGGGAGAAGTTTCATCTGGTTGCAATCTGAAATCCGCACCACTAAATGCCACTAAATCCTACACACTGTACCTTTAAGACATTTTCTATCACGGTCTTGACAAGCATGTCTCGGGAACAAGCAGGGAGTGAACATTTTGATGCTTAGATGGCCATGAAGACGGTGTCAAAAGAAACCATAATGCAATCCACAGCACCTGTATCTTGATATGTCTACAAAGTGTATAGGCCAGGTGGACTGTACATAACACACACTTGAGGAAAAAAAAGATGAATAAATGTATAACATAATGTTTGTCCTACAGGTAATGCTATTTACAACCGAAGTTTACAGTTATGATTCCAATAGAATAGTGAAATACACATATTTGTGATATTATTATTTTATGTTATCTCATGGCTTGAATGAATGACCTCTGATGCAAATGTGACTACTGAGCACTGAGCAAATGTTGCAGCTCGCAACAGTAAATACATTTTGAAGGAGACATAATGCCACCCGGATTATGTTTTTCTATTAACATAATGAGAAAATGTAAATTTGCAAAAAATGTTTATATCACAAAAATGTTCACTGGCAACATATTTCATTTGTTTCTGCAAAAATATCCAATGTGGCACTGCAATATCTGTGACTGCTGCATTATTTAAGTTTTTATGGTAATGTTTAGGCAACACTTGGGAGGGAAAATTCAGCAGTCATTTAAGGCACCAGACACAAATGATTATCAGCATTTAACTGAAACCACAGTCTTCCTCTTACTTTAACCAAAGTGCCTTTTTTGCCTAAACCACAGACAGGAGTCTGGATGACAACCCCTGACTATGGTGTCAAAGTTGCTATGTTTATATGCCCAACACCAGAGGCGGAGATGTGGGGGGGTGGCATCTGGGGTCCAGCCCTGAATGTTTTTTAAAAGGCTAAAATCTATGCCTAAAAAATCTAATCTCATTGAGTAAATGTTCTTCTGTTGGCCTAATATTCAAGTCAGAGTATTGAAGACCACATTTACTCGGCTTGGATTCAAATGAAGCAGATTTATCAGATAAACCGTCATTTGGTAAACTCCACTCAAGCATAGTATGACAAAAATAGCTTTCAAGATTAGTAATGTTGTTTACACCAAATTTCTACCCTTAGGGTGACCAGATGTACCAAAAAAATTTGGGACAGTCCTGAATTATGTGCAGCTGTCCCAAATCCTGAATCCTGTCTTGTTTGTTGTGAAAATTAACTGTAGTAGTAATAGATAATCTGAACAAGCTAAAATAAGAGCTGTCTGTGTGCTGTGGGACTCGATTTGACTTGAGCCTTGAAGGCACAGATCCTGAGGAGACCTGACTTAGTGACACAGTTATATTTAAAAATGCTGCACTAACCATATTGTGTATTTTTGAGTGCTGCCAAATTGTCTGAATTAATTAATAACATAACAGAGATACGCACAACAAGCTGCTGTCACCAGAATAAAGAAGAGAGAGAGAGAAAGAACCCTTTCATTAAATTATCAATTAGTGAACATAAATTAGTGGATAACCGTTTTTTCCGTGAAAATGTAATCAAATTACTTATGTAGGCTATAATTTGCTTTGCGTTATTTAAAAATGTCCCGTTCATTGACATCTTTCATTTGTGTATTGCACTGATTAGGCAGCCATAAATAATGGATTGTGGATGTCACTTGACCTCTTTTAAACCAGATGTCAGAGTCAGAGATTGCAGAGAGTTGTAATTTGTGCTAAAAATATCTGGAAGAAAAGATGACCGTGACATACTAGCCGTCAACTGTGCAGAACGGCTCATGCACCCTGTGATCAAACCCCTCCACCTCCCATCCTAAATTTCACCTGTTCTCATCTGGTCGCCCTACCTACCCTACCTATGTTCATTCATTCATTCATCTTCTAACCGCTTCATCCTCTTGAGGGTCGCGGGGGGGCTGGAGCCTATCCCAGCTGACATCGGGCAAGAGGCAGGGTACACTGTGGACAGGTCGCCAGACTATCGCAGGGCTGACACATAGAGACAGACAACCATTCACACTCACATTCACACCTACGGACAATTTAGAGTTATCAATTAACCTAGTCCCCAATCTGCATGTCTTTGGACTGTGGGAGGAAGCCGGAGTGCCCGGAGAGAACCCACACTGACACGGGGAGAACATGCGAACTCCGCCACAGAGGGGCTCCCACGCCTGGGATCGAACCGGCAACCCTCTTGCTGTGAGGCGAGAGTGCTAACACCACACCCCTGTGCCGCCCCCTACCTATGTTATGTAACTTAAAATTCTGGGCTCTTTTTAGGTGGCCTGAGTGAGCATTAGTCATTGTCAACATGCTTTGCTGTAGTTTCACAATGATGAAGACAGTTAGTTGGAACACAATTACAGTAAATACAAAATAGGGTGAAGGCTCTACAGGATGTTTTTTCCCCTGCATCCATTAATGTTTTTCCAAAATTATGTGCAGATTTTTAAGCATTATATCATTTCAAATGGCTTAAGAAATAGTGCATATAGCTGCGGTAAATAGAAAAATAAATCCCTGGAGGAACATGTCCCCAGACCTCACATAGGTTGGGCTGCGCTCTCAACATCTGCCACTGCCCACCATCCACCCCAAACACATCCTTGCAACTTTGGTGTGGTGGATAAATGTAGAAACTTAATCAAAAAGTCGTTGCCTCCAAACTTAATCCAGGTAGTGATTACATTTGTTACAACAAGTTCAGTGGGAAACCAATTTAGTGATCTATAGATGTAATTTCTAGGAGACAGGATTGCAAAGTCAAGAGCAAAAAGCAGTACTGCACTCATCCGGTCATTTAAAAATGGCTACAATCATCACTTTTAAACTAACGATGAATCGCATGACAACTTGTATGTGGAAGGGGTTGTGAGAAGTAACAAACCCACCTGAATCTATAGTTCCCCTCAGCTCTATGGACATTAATCAGCTCCTTGATTTGATGTTCCAGCCTGCAACTTCAGGGCTTTTCAGTGGCAGTTCTCTAAACTTTGTTTCCAGCAGAAGCAGGCCACTATTTCAGACAAAGTTTAAGCATTTAGTAGCAAATGAGCCATACTTTTTAGGAGTTAGCCAGACCAAAGCTAAAAGAAGAGGGAATATTGGATTTACACCTTATCGGGTGGACATAAACAAAACTCCAAGTGAATGCTAATGTTGCTATGTATCTGCTGGTTGTGTAAATAAGCTGCTGTTTGCTAACAGTTTTGCCATATTAACTTGTGCAGTGTTTACAGCTTCATTCCACTCCCCTGAAGTGACCCCGAAAGAAAAAAAAATCAGTTAACGCAGGCACTAACAGCCATTATCAATCTGATTCTTACTCACATAAAGTCAACACTTCCTGTTTGCTAAATGGAGCAACGCCTGTGAGTCATATGTCACTCTCCATATGTTATCTATAAAACACACCAGCTTCTTCCCAGCTCTCCCCTTGCCTTGTCAATGCCGCTGCTGCCCTGCATCAGTACTGCTGCTGGCTCTTTCAGCCCCACCTCCAACCCAGCTCCCACCTGCAGGCTCTGGCCAAGGGAGGGAAATATTTAATCATCACTCCTCAGTATCTCACGTAAATATTTCTGCAGGGAACGATGAGGCTGGACTCTAGACACCAAACTCTCATCCTGCTCGGCTCTGCTGTGAAATTAACATTTAAAACATGATTTGTCTGATTGAACTGAGGATAAACTCAAGTACAGCCACCCACGGTGAATCTATTCATAATTTTCTTTTTAAAAAGATGATGATATATGTTATTTTTTTTGTGTATTCAGTCCTCATGTTGAGTCACCACTTCCTTAGTTGTGATTATTCCCCAGCAATCAACACTTTAAGCCCTGAATATCTCAACTTTCTATTGGTACCTTGCTTCTGCTTGGCAGCGCTGTCAGAATTTTCATTACTGCTGCAATAATACAGCGAGTGGCTCTTAGATAACAGTTGAGAGTTGTCACAGCTCTGACAACCCCATTTCTCCTCTCAGTGTATGGGTTCCTGTGGTATTTGGCGACGTGTAAAGTTTCTGAAAGACCACGTAATCCTAGTGAGGACTGCTCACTCTTGCTGTGCCCGCGAGGTCTCAATCTCAGCAGAGCCCATGCAGCAGAGAATACACTGGACATGCACACTTTTATGTGATATAGGGCTCAGCCGAAAGCACATATAAATCGATAGTCTGATTCAATAGCAGGAATGTTTTACATAGAGCCTAACACTTCAGTCTTGGAGGCTATTCTTATCATGTTGGCTTGGTTTCCTGGGCAAAGATGCTGAGTTTCAGGAAAGGATTGAATATCAAGTGGAATGAGACTTCAGATAAGAACTACAAATAAGAGGAAAGGAAATACTGGAGCTTTGTGCAGCAGAGGTGACCTTTCCCTGCAGCGACGTACTGTCCTT